AGGGGAGGGGAGGGGAGAGGTAAAGAGAGAGGAGCAGAGAGAACAATGAGCTTACAAGCCTACCAACGCCCTTCAATTAGTATGGGGGCTATGAGGTCTTGCATGCTGCAGTACTAGAAGGGATACTGCTGGTAATTAAAACACCAAAATGCCAGCAGTCACTCACAGTAGACATGTTTCAATGGCGCTCCAACTAGACAACAAGGAAGAAAGGACCGGAGAGCTACTTCTGGAAACGAGTATCCAAACATCCCTCAATCCCAGAGGGTCACTGGCTCTGGTGTGCTGTCCACCAGAGCTCCCTGGGCTGGAAGGGAGGCGCTCAAATATCTAAGATCATGAAGACGGAGCAGGACCGGGCAATAGTTCATTCTGTCATATATCGTATATGTCGAAGTCCACTTGATAGCAACTGCCAACTAAGGGCTTTGGGGGTCCAGAGAGAGCACTGTGGCCTCCTGTGCGTGAGTCCATTTCCAGGACTTTCTGTCAAGTTTCCCATGAAACGAATTGCTGGCCCAGGGTGGGGAGGTGGGGGGGAGCGGGATGGTGACAGGAGCCAGCCCTTCTGTGACAGGTATGACATGGACACAGAGGGATGGACCTTTTAACACTGACAACAGCCCTGTAAATGAGACACAATGGAGACTTTCTCACATCAAGAAACTCAAGTGGGGGTGGGGTGGGCGGGGAGAAAAGTGCAACAATGAATGAATGGAAATCCAAAATCTTTGTAAATGTTCATTGAAATAAAAAGAAAAGAAAAGAAAAAAGGAAAGAAAAGAAACTCAAGTGCAGAGGAACTCTTCAGGGAGCTAAGATAACTGACAGGAAGCAGCAGAGCTTAGGATGAAGCTTGACCAGCTGGCTCCAAATCCGGCCTTTATCATGGCAGGAGATACTAACAGGGCAGCAAGTGACTGAAAGGCCGTTTTCCCAGGGAGGATTGGATTTGCTTTTAAGGTGATGTTTGCACCTCAGCACATTTTCGTTTAGGCAGGAAGTCGTGTGAGCAAGGTAGGAGTAAAAGCCTGAGGACACTGTGCTTCTGCATGACCAGCCAGCTCTTTCGCGTGTGCCCACTTCTCCCAATAGAACCTGGTGCTCTCTGGAACTCATGGAGCTCCGGCAGCTTTGTGATAAAGAGCTATACTCGTAAAAGTACGGAATGAGGGTTGGGGGCATGGTGGGGGGGATGTGCGGAGGGGGATTGTGTACCAATGAGGGAGTTTTTCCTTTGCTTTTGAAGGAGAGGAGCAAACGG